GGGTAGCGGATGTACGGCTAATTATCATGTTTCTCTTTTATTAGGTAGGATATATATATATATATATATATATATATATATATATATATGATACACACACACACATTTCATCAAAAATGATTAGCATCAAATGCATCAAAACAGTGATCAAAACATTCAAAGAAAGACATAAACTAGTCTTCATGAACTCAGCCTCTCCAGGAATCAGCAGGCCTTTGTTCTCTAAACAGAAGTCCTCTGCAAGTCTGAGACACTAACCCATTTAAACCCAGAGGACCTAGAAAATCATTTTGCAAGGATATCTGACCCCATGGTGTGTGTTTTTTCAAGTCCCAATCTGTATGATTAAAATATTTTCAAAGGAAAAAGAAGATGAGGATAATTAGTGGGTTTTTTCTGCCTGGTTGTTAAACACCCTAATTACTTCAAGCGCCATTACCGCCACTTGCACATAAGCCATCTTTTGAAACTACTTTTCAATCTAAACTAAAATTGATGCTAAGTTCTTCTGAGGGTATAGCCAATATTAATACAATTTGGAGAGTTGCTGAATTTACTCTTTTATCTTAACGTAGGTGTCAATATTCTAAGCGCACACAATGGAGCTAATCTACTACCATCTGAAGTAGAACCAACACCAAAACCTCTTTAAAGAGACTGCACATTTTTTATAAACGTGAAAAGTATTATAATTATATATCATGTACCATAACTTTTACTACTGATTTGCCATTATTCGGATACTAAAATGTCTTTCTATTTCCCTTTACGCCAAATTTACTTACTGTAGAATTATACTGCTGGGTCTTTTTTCCCCTCCCACTTTTCACTGGATAGAATTGCTTGGTTCTGATTGTTGACTCAATAAATCATTCTGGTGCAGCATGTGCAGACATTTTGCATTAGTTTCTTTACTATACTTTCAATGGGCTAATAAATCATGGCATTAATTATTCGTTTCTATAATAAACTGTAACCAAGAAACCAGACACTAGATAAATACTGGTTGAATACGAAAATGGGAATGGGATCCATTGTTGTCGGCACTCCACCTGGGCTCTGGAAGTAAATGAGGTCAGTGGGAGCACCATCACAAGCAAGAGACAGTGCTTAGCTGAAGCTGTAAGGATGAAGGAGACTTGGTGCTTGCCCTCAGGGTCAGATGGGAAGACATGTACACGAATGGCTAGGATACAAGGCAGAAAGTGGGGAGCACCCATAGTGCTACAAAATGATAGCAAGGTTCTGGGGAAGGTGAAATGAAAGCTGGTTGGGAGGATCAGAAAGGCTGCATGAAGGAGGCAACCCCTGTGGTGCATCATAAAGGATGAATGGAAATACACGGGGCAGAAATGAAGGGGGATCATCCGGAAAGAAAGAACAGTAAGAAGAAAAGCGTGAAGGTGGAAGGCAACCTTCAGGAGCCACGTGTAGTCAGTGTTGTCTGTAGCATGGGGGTCCATGGGAAAAGAGCCGTGAATGCTAAATTGAGAAGTTTTCACAAATTCAATAGACAATGAGCAGCTAGTGGTGGTTTTGAAACAAGATAGCAACATGAAGATTCACATGAAATCAATGTGCAAAACAAGCTAGAATGGAGAGAATAGAGACATTTAGAGACTAATTGGGAAGCAAGAAGACTTGAAGAGTGGCGAGGGGGGATGCAGAGAAGAGACTGGAATCAAAGGACTACAGAGGCAAAACAACACTCTGCTAACCAATGTAGTGTTGCAGAACAACACTCTGCAATAGGAAATGGGGAGGAGGAGGATCTGCTTTTGAGGATGGAGCTCCTAACACATGAATGCTCTATACATACCAAAGGCAACCCAGCCAGAGACCCAGCACCCTCATGCATCTCTCACCTCCCTGTGCCAGGGGTCCTAGCTCTCAACTAGCTACCACATGGTCACATCTGAGGCTTTCTACAACACGATAGAATATGCAAAACTCTCCTGACATCTCGCTCCACTTCCTATTGCTCATTCATTCAACATAGTAAGCGCAAGTGCTTATTACCATCAAGAGGCACTATCTCACACTCTCAAGGATAAGACACCCTCTTCACCTTTTCTGCCTAATAGTCTCGTCCTGATGCAACTCTGTTTTTTTTTTCTCCCCTGGAAATGGTTTTACTGTTTTGCAGATTTAAAACTAAACTAAAAATTTTTTTAAAGAAAATAATACATTACAATTAAAATGTGGAAGATAAAGTTGGGAAAAAATCTCAAAAAATAGAGCAAAATCAGGGGGTAAGATAGAAGAGAGTACAAAAATACTAGAGTAGCAATCTAGGAAGTTCAGCATCCAAACATGAACATTCTGGAAAGGAGAAAATAAAAGGAAGAAAAATCATCAAAAAGTAATTCAAGACAGTTTCAATAATAATAACAATAACAATAATAATTCAAGACAACTTCCTAGAATTGAAGGACATAGGTTTGCAGACTAAATGGCTACTTAGTGCCCAGCACAAAGGACAAAATAGACCTATGCCAACACATTCTACATTTTCAGAATACCAGGGATAACAAGGTCATATGAACTTCCAAAGAGAAAAGTGTGAAGGTCCTTCACATTCTAGCCCTGCACACCCCTCCATCCGGGTGACCTCCCCCAATACAATACAGCCCTACCCCCTTCCTACCATCCTCCATCAACTGAAGTCATATCACATCCCTCCTCTGCTTAGAACCCTCTTGTGGCTCACAACGCACTCAAAATAAGTAAAAATATAAAGAATGCAGGGGAATTAGGCTTTCAAACCACCTCTAAAGTTTGATGACTCTTCTGAGCATTAACATTATTAAGTGAAATGATAAAGAATTCTGCTTTACCGAGAGCGACAGTGACTGGGGTGAAAGTTTGTGAAAAGGGGTTAGATAGGTGTTCGGAGAGAGGCTCTAGGGAGATACTTCTCACCTGAGACCTAAATAATGAGAAGGATCCAGCCTTTGAAGACCAAGGAAGGCCAGGCACAAAGAAGAGTGAGAGTCAAGGCCCTGTGACAGAAACAAGGTGGAGCGTTTGAAAAAGGAAAACAAATACAAGCTGGTCAGGACCTGATATGAAATGAGGAAGAAGGTAAGGGTAAGTGGTGGCCATATTATATAAGGACTGGACAGACCATGGTCAGGTAAGAATTTCTCTTCCTCATACTGAGAAATATTTTTCTAGAAAAGTCTCAATAACATTGCCTCGTTCAAATCACTACCTATTCATTGACCATCAATTCCAAGAAACAAGCACATGAAATTAAAATTGTCTCTTTCATATTTTAATTCGACCATACAGTCACCTGCAGATAAAGAACATTTCTTTTTTAATTGAGGATACAGTTCTATCTCCTTCATAGGGGTGGTGGGGATTCTTGATGAAAGAATCAGGAATTTCAATACCCGGTCAATATTTTTTCTCTAAGATTGCTCAGTGTGCCACCACAGGCAGGGTGGCGGGCTTGAAATCTTCGTTCAAGCTAGTTTGCGTGGCAAACGCCACATTATTTCAACACACTTAACAATTTTTCATGTTCTCCCCTCCCATGTTGGTGTATACATACAGGTGCACCTCCTTACCTTCTACTGCGCATTAATCTTACCTCGGGTGGCGCTACCTATTCCACGAAGGCATTATCCATCAATACACACGCGGGCTTCTCCTAGAGGCACTCGGCTAGGGGTTGCCAGCAGGCGTAAAACAAGCCATTTACATCGATTCAGGGGATCCATAAAGCTGAAAGTCATGGAGGAGGAGTTGCTAGTTAGGGCAAGAGTAACGGTACAACTGAGACAAAACTATTTCATTGAGAGGCTTTCAGGGACTCATTTTCCAGTGTCACTTTTGCTGTAATGCACAATTGCCCCCAAATAATGCAGGAATCAAGAATTGCCGGAAGGACCGAAGCCAAGACGCAGTACACCAACTCTACAGACAGAATGCTCTGCGGTATCATTCACCTGCCACCCACCCAGCCCAGGTAATGAAATACGACACAAAAATGCCATTCTTTTTAAACACTTGGAAGGATGACTTTGTTTCTTCTATTAGAAAACTATTGAAGTCCATAAAATTGAGATGCCTTTAAAATGGTGAAGTCTTTTCTTTATTTAAAATGCCAAAGTGCTGTGTATAGATTGAGTCAAAAGAGTGTGTCTGATCCTGTGAAAAATTATATCACCACGGGATTCCCTCAAGTTGGTGCGCTATATAGTTTGCATGCTAAAATCTCCTTAACCTCGCAATTGCTCTCTCCTTCCCACATCAGTCAACAATCCTTGCTAGTTCTACATCCAAAGCGCTAATCAAATGTATGCCCTTTACTTCCAAGTACACCGCTTTAACTCGGGCTCCTATCATCTCCCCAGACAAGCTATTCTAATAGCCTACAGTCAAAAACTCCTTTCTTCCTGACCACTGTCAAAGGCCACCTCCTCTGTGAAGACGCCCCAGCTCTCCATGGCATGGTGCAATCACTCCAACTTGCTTTGTCCCAGGAGCTCACATACACAGGACTCTTACAACACTCTTTACTGCAGAGCTGCAAGTAAGAATATGCAAGCCGCATGTGTGATTGTAAATGTTCCAGGAGCCTCCTCTAAAAGGTAAAGAGGAAGGGGTGAATTTTAATAATACTTTTTATTTAATCTGGTGTATCCAAAATATCATTTCAACATGTAATCAATACAAAAATATAACAAGACAGTCTACAGTTTCTCATATTAATCCTTTGAACTCCAATGAGTATTTCACATTTGTAGCATATTTCCAATTTAGACACTAAGCTGTCATCAAAAATAATTGATCTGTATTTACATGTCATAAAAGTACAGTTGAAAAAGTACAGATGCACATATCTAAGTTGTTCCAAATGTACTAGAAATTTTTATAAGAACTGTATCAAATATCAACTTATTTTAAATTAAAACAAAATTAACATCTAGAAATCAGTTCTTTGCCCTGGCTGGTTTTGCTCTGTGGTTAGAGCATTAGCCCATGGACCAAAGAGTCACTGGTTCGATTTCCAGTCAAGGGCACATACCTCAGTTGCAGGTTCAATCCTTAGTCCTAGTCAGGGTGCAAGCCAGAGGCAACTAATAGATGTGTCTCACATCAATGTTTTTCTCCATCTCCCCGCTCCCTCCATTCCACTCTCTCTAAAAATCAATGGAAACAATATCCTCACTCCTTGGGTGAGGATTAAAAAAATCAGTTACTCTGTCACACGAGCTACGTTTCAAGTGCTCCATAGACACATGCAGCCAGTGGCTATTCTATTAGACAGCATAGCTCTACTATAATTATTTATGTATACATCTGTCTTCCCCACAACATCAGACCACATCTACTTGTATCCTCCCCATTGCCTTGGCACATAAAGGGTGTTTAATGAGAGTTTGTTGACTAAATAAAAAAAAAATAAATGTGGAAATCACTTGACTCTATTGTAATGTTAAATCAAGAACATTCTTTCCTAAGGATATAAATGGCCATTTCTATGAATACACATATACACACACATGCATGTACATGAGCCCAGGCCTGAGTGAAAACTAATTAAGACTAAGTGCATTTGATTTGTAACGGATTCCTTCAATAATAAAAATGACTTCATACATACTACTCCCCCTGCACCTGTGCCTCCAGCCATCTATTCTCCTTTCCTTAAGGCATGTATGGGTAGTCTACACAATTAGCACTTCATAAGCTTCACATTCTCTAGTTGTTTTTTCTATCTATGTCTTGCCTCTTCAAATTATATTTTATGCTTCTGCAGACAGAGATCATTCCTTGCACTTTGTAGCTATCACAATGGCGATAACAAAGTACAAGAATTTAATACATGACATAGAATCAATTCTCAGTTGCCTTCTTTTCCAGTCATGCCTTTCCCAATCAATCCCAGAAGCCCAGCCTCTCAGCAATCAGATTCATACCAATATGTCTGGATAGCTGCGGCCAATAACCTCCCCACATAATCAGTACTTCTCTCTGTGCTACAAGGCATTTTGCATGTGTAACTGTCCTTCATCCCCCAAAAGGTGGGAAGATGCTTCCAATCTTTGTTAAAATGCCCCGTGTTACCTAGTTGTACTGCTCTCTTCAAACTGACCCTTCAGTGGGTGTTGACTCCTGTCCCAACTTGCCACCTCCATCACCCCCTACCCGCCATGGATGCAGCAACAACGTGACAGAAGGGAGCTCTGTGAGGGTGGAGATCTCTGTGGTCTTGTTAGCAGCATCTCCCTATAGGCAAGTAACTTTGACAAATCAATGCACACATAAATTTCCACAGAGGGGCTTCCAGTAGGTTTATCATTTATTCTATTTTTGCTTGAATAAGAACAAAATGTAAACAGGAAGACGTCTTGGTGAATCAGTCACGGGGTTCCTCCAAGTCCGCGTTGGTGTTCTCTCGCTTGTGCTTGGATAGTTGTTCTTTGATGGCTTCTACCTCTGCAGGAGTGAACTTGGGGGTTAGCATCACAGTGTCATAATCAAATTCTTCATCAAGTCTGAAGGGCTGAACTTCATCCCCGAGTATCTGCAAGAGGTAGCAAAGGAGGAAAATCATTTACAACCACTGTAAATGAAGATAAAGTCCAAAACGTGAATTCCCTATTACTATTTAATTAAACATTTTTTAGACTCCAACTCTCTCAGCTGGTTAGGCCGTCTTTTAAGTAAAGAAATAGTCACTTATTCAATTTGACCTAATGTAAGCCCCTTAAAATGCCCCATTTGTACCTCCCTGCCTCTAAACAATATCACTAACTAATTCTGCCCACAGCAAGAAGCAGAAAATCTCTCTTGCACACATTCATTACATTTTTACCACCTGTAGTGTTAGGACTGGAAGCATATGGAAAAACTAAAGGTTTATATTTAAAGTGTGAAAAAATACACCTGAAGATTTTGATCAACCTTGAATACATTTTCACCATTTACCATAAAAGACATATCAACAAAACAATTTTCTTTTTAAAAATATTTTTATTGATTTCAAAGAGAAAGGGAAAGGGAGAGAGAGATAGAAACACCAATGATGAGAGAGAATCGTTGATTGGCTGCCTCCTGCATGTCCCCTAGTGGGGACTAAACCCACTACCTGGACATGTGCCCTTGACCGGAATCGAACCCGGGACCCTTCCGTCTGCAGGCCTACACTCTATTCACTGAGCCCAACTGGCTAGGGCTTAACAAAACAATTTTCAAAGTTAAAAGTACTCTACACTTATTTAATTTACTTCTTCAGATAATACCTATAATTCCTGGTCCAATAAGAGTAGGAATTAAAACACACAGTAGCTCCTTAAATTTAAAAGTCCAGGATCCTTTTGTCCTACCAAGAATTTTTAAAATATTACAGAATTTATCTACAAGCCAGAGTAAATGCAAAGAGGTATAATAATTTTGTATCGATTTATTCATAATCTGTGTTTTAAACACTTTCTAAAAGAAGTTAGATTTTTTTGAAAGTGTATGTCCCACTAAACAAAAAGAGAATGCCTTAAATCTCACTGTATCACCCCTTCAAGAGCCTCTCCCCAAGCAAATGGTGTGTGACACGTGAACTCATCCGGCACCCCTGTGCAGCTCTATAATATGTATGGTGATTCTGAAATAATTGAAAACTATGGTTTATGCAGGAATGAAAAAAAAATGCCCTGAAGCCATAATCAGCTTTAAATATTCTTGCCTGGAAAATGATCTCACTGAGTGGCTTTTGCAATGTTCTTGATAATGGAGCATACAGCTCAGAAACCGTGCTGTTATTAAAGGTGAAAGAAAGCAAAAAAAACCCACAACCATAAAAAATAGATTATCTCCTGTCCGTTGGATAAGTTGAACCTCATAGGGATGCAGGGTTAATAGCAAACACCCGACCATCTTTCGTCCTTTCTCAGTAAAACCAGCAAGGGAACGCATTTCAGAGGCCCGTTGATTTCCTCTTTATTAGAAAGTGCGCGCTCTCCTGACAAGGGTGATGGGAGCTCTCACTGGAGTGAGTTCCCACCAAGGGCCAGCCCCGGTACTCGGAACTGTGTGGGCAAGAGCAGTGATCTTCAAACAACCCATCTCACAAGGAGCTGAACGAACGGCGAAGTCACGTGCCCCAGACTATGCAGTCAGTTAGAAAGGGAAGTGAGTTCTGAATCCAGAGTCTTCAGGGAAAGCTTCCCCTTCTCCAAACACACAGGAAAAATCAACCTGGAAGACTTCCCTAGGCCTGGTCATCGCCGCCGGGGAGAAAAGCCCTTTCCTGGATAAGCTAAACAAATCCCATGGCATATAATTGAAAGCACTCAAGGCTCCACATAATACCATGCCGTCTGGAGCAGCCGACCAAGGGGGCCAGTCAGCCTGCAGAGGGACCGATCATTGTGGTCACTTTCTGAGATGAAACTTCAACGCCACAAAGTGGCCATGCGGTAATACTGCTGAAAGCAGCTCAAATGAAGAAACACAGCAGGCAACATGTTCATTTCCTGCATGTGAGCATCCCTGCAGTCTCCAGGTCTACTCAGCGATAAGCACTGAGGCTTGCAGGCCTGGCCCCATCCTGAAGGACCCTGACAGGGACACAAGGGAGCACCATTTTACCAGTGCATTCCGGCTCAGGGGACCCTTGCTGCCTTGCATACCTGGTTAAAGGAAGCAGGCATCATGCCTTGTTTTTATATTACCAGACCCTGTGCTAGGCATAGGAGAGCAATGGTACTAGAATGAAAAGGCTGCCGTCCCAGCCTACCAAGAGATTACAGTTACATGCGGTCGAGCAAATTGAAAAGAAGCAAATATAACACAATGTTGTTCCGGGAGTACATACAAGGTGCAATGGGATCCTAGAGCAGGGACACTAACCCCAGCCTGGAGGTCAAGGAGAACTTCCGGGAGTGATGCCTAAGCTGATCCCAGCTCAGAAAGGACTAGTACAAGTTAAAGAGGAAAAGAGAGAGTGAGTCTGAGAGAACAGAGAGGACAGAAAACACCCCAAGCAAAAGAAAATATACATCTAAGAACTAAGGGCAAGAAAGAATATAAACTATTTAAGAAATTGTAAGTATGAGAAGTAAGAACAAATGTTATAATACAAAAAGTGAACCCAACTGAAGAAAAAATTGACTTCTTACTGAAGTTGAGGTGTCTAACTTACTTTAGGACTTAGTTTATTTTACACTATAATTTCAAAAGTAAACTTTCTACCTAACGTTCTTTCAGAATATGCACACACATAGATACAAAGAGTGGTTGGGGAAGGGAGGTATAGATGGATAATTTGTAAATCGTAGCAATTTTAGCATACATTTTTACTAGTATGCATCTTGGGTTTTTTCCAAGCCTCTGACATTATAATTTTGTATTAACGTACTATTCTGAGTTTTATTAACATTTAGTATATATCAATGGCTCTTGCAGACTGAATAGTAATAAATCAGTTATTAGAGCAAAGTAATTGTGAATATGTAATTATGAATACCCTAGTATTTATAGATTTATAAATCAACATAACATTTAGAAATTTATAAAACAACATAGGACTTAAAAGGTAACTATTGCCCAGCTGGCATGGCTCAGTGGTTAAGTGTCGACCTATGAACCAGGAGGTCACAGTTAGATTCCTGGTCAAGGGCAGGAATCCCTTGGGTTGTGGGCTTGATCCCCTTGGGGGGCATGCAGGAGGCAGCCAATCAATGATTCTTTCTGATCATTGATGTTTCTCTCTCTCTCTCTCTCTCTCTCTCTCTCTCTCTCTCTCTGAAATCAATAAAAATAATATTTTTTAAAAAGTAACTATTATTTTACTATATATGTTAATGATGCCATTTAAAAATCCTAAATATAAATAAAAAGTATTTCGGGTTTTTATTTAGTATTTTTTACTATATACATGCCAAAATGGTAAATTTTACTCTATAAATGCAATCTCAATAAACCTAACTTTTAAAAAGGAAAGAGAGAAAGGGAGGAAGGGAGGGAGGGAGGAGGGAGGAAGGGAGGAGGGAGGAAGGAAGGAAGGGAGGAAAGGAGGGAGGGAGGAAGGAGGGAGGGAGGGAGGGAGGGAGGGAGGAAGGGAGGAAGGGAGGAAGGAGGAAGGAGGAGGAGGAGGAGGAAGGAAGGAAGGAAGGAAGGGAGGGGAGGGAGGGAGGGAGGGAGGGAGGAGGAGGGAGGAGGGAGGAGGAAGGGAGGAAGGGAGGAAGGAGGAAGGAAGGAAGGAAGGAAGGAAGGAGGGAGGGAGGGAGGGAGGGAGGGAGGGAGGGAGGGAGGGAGGGAGGGAGGAAGGGGACACACACTGCAACTCAGAAAACTTCACTGCGAACTTTAAAATGGCAGCTTTCAAAAGACATCAAAGTCGCAATTCTGTTTATGTATTTCAGCTGTTGGCTACTCTGGCACACTTTGGGAATTCCCTTCTTTCAAGTAAGGTTCATCTTAGGGTCCTGAGCTACAAGACTCCAAATTAGTTGCAAACTCCAATTCTGATTTATTTCAAAGAGAAGCATTTGTGCAATGGAATGCCAAGTCTCCCACTATTATACAGAAAACAACTGTGAATTAAGTTATTAACTTGTTATTTTTGCCTAAGGAGCTGAAATATGTGGATTTCAGGTATATAATTTCAAATCTAATTGAAATCTTTTTGAGCCTCTGGGGGAATAGAATTTGTACACTGGCAGAACACTGCTAGTTTCCTTAAATTGCTCATGTGACTTATTCTAAGTGCAACTGCTACAAGAGGAGTCATTTTCATTCAGAATACCACATAGGCAAGTCAAAGAAAGCAGAACTAATGCTCAAATCAATGACAGCAGCATTTGGCTGTAGGCTCTATTACAAAGCAATATGGTAAGTAAACTGTCTTTATAGGTGAAAAATTTTGAAGACCCTATATGAATTGGAAAAACAGGAGATCTCCCATTAAAAACATACTATACAAGTTTCTTCTATGACCTCTTCTATGGGTTGGGGATGGGGAGGAGGAACTCACAATTTTTCATCTTTCTAATGTGAATTACTTTCATCAAAATATATTAACTAAGGCAAGAAATTATTCACAAATAGAAACTGGAAGGTTCTTGGGAAATGTTTGACTCTAAGGGGGGAAATGCACATGTATAAAACCAGTTATCAAATTAACAACAATTTTTTTTTAAATTGGTCTGATCCATACTAGGAAGCTGTGGATTCCTATTAGGCAATTACAGGAAGTTGGGCCATCCAGGGTACATTTTCATCTTTCCAGACTGAAGTCACAGAAAGCAACTGTGTCTAGCCCCTTGGTAGGCCCTTACAGGACACATTTGCTGGAAGTTGATGCTGATGGTCTTATACTGGCATTGGGTGCTTTAAAGTAAGATTAATACTATTAAACCATGCAGGGTTGGTACAGTATTATGATTTCTAGACAGTTCTGAAAAGTTTCTCTTCCAAATGGTGATTAGAAATAAAAATCCCAAACCAAGGGATATTCAAAAGTTATTCATCTATGTCTCATGAGTTTGCCAACACAAACATGTTTATATCATTTTGATTCCAATATTTAAAAATGTTGGCATTTTCTGGGAAGAAATGTATATTCTTTTTGAAGATACAATCATCTACAGGGTTTTAAATAGCATTTTACTGGATGTTTGACAGGTTCCAGAAATCATTCCGGGTTTTCTTTTAACCCATCAACTAAAATCATTTTATAAACATTTCCACAATGGCACCAGATGCAGTGACCACGAGTTGGTCAAATCATTTGTATGGTCACAATGGAAGTCATAAACAAGCCTTTGAAAGAAACTCATTTCTGCCAGAAATAACCTTGCAATTTTAGTTTCTTACTATTCAACAAAAGCAATCCACAATTCAAAAAGCACACCGAAAAGTGGCTATCCCTACCAGTTTACCTGGTAACCAATTTAGGGGTTTAACATAAGCCTACTAGCACCCTAGACATAAGTTTGCCATACCAGTGCACAAAGTCTTATAATAAATGGGTAATTTAAAATTGAAATGCATGGATTATTTCTGATTGAACGACTGCTTCCATAACCAAATATCTTCAAGTGGCAAGACTAGTACCTGATAATTAAATAATCAAGAAACATCCTAAGGGCTTTCTTAGAAAGAGATAGTGAAGAGCCCTTGGCAACCTCTGTGCCTGATCCCCTTTCGTGTTCGAGTGAACTGAGTGCAAAGGTCACATCTGGCAGCCTCTGCTGGTGCACCTTTGTCGAGTACATGCAGAAGAGCTGTAAAGGATGGCGAAGGGTGACTTTCAAGTGGTGCATTTGGGAGAGGACGCATGTGGCAGAGATTCCATTCTACCCTGCTGGGGAAGCAAACAGCTGATGACACTTCCCAGCCTCTCTTGGGGTGGGTAGGAACATGTGACTGAGTGGCTGCCAATAGGGCGTGAGCAGAAATGGAGCCCTGAGCTCTGAGCCTGGGGAAGCAGGCTGCCTCGGGCTCTCATCCCCTGCCCCTGGAAAAATGGGAACCTGACTTGCAGCATGTGCTCTCATCCCCTGCCCCCGGAAGGATGGGGACCTGACTCGCAGCAGGCGCTCTCATCCCTTGCCCCCGGAAAAATAGGGACCTGACCCGAAGCATGCACTTGAGGACAGTGTCTGGAGGCAGAGTGGAGTTCCAGAGAGAAGGAGCCGTGGTGAGTCCAGGGAACAGAGCCACTTGCTAACTTGAGAGACCCTCCACAGGTTATTCCAGGAAAGAAAGAAACTTCTATCCCCTCCACCACCGAATTATTGTTGGGGTTCTCTCCTGGAGCAGCCTAGCTTTACCTTAACAAATACAGGATGTCTACGGGGCCTTAGGAACAATAATACAAAGAAAAAAGGCCAGTTCGGACTAAAAGACATAACAAAGCCATCTGTCCCCTTCCTCTGTCCTTTCGGTTGCATTGTCCCCAGGTAGCACTGGCCTATAGAGATACGTCATGGAATAAAAATATTTTCCATGGCTGGTGTGCTCAGTGGTTGAGCATCGACCCATTAACCCACTGGTCACTGTTCGATTCCCATTCAGGGCACATGCTGGGGTTGAGGCCTCGATCCACACTAGGGGGCATGCAGGAGGCAGCTGACTGATGATTCTCTCTCATCACTGATGTTTCTCTCTCCCTCGCTCTCTCCCTGAAATCAATAAAAACATATTCTAAAAAAACTAGTTTCCATGTAAAAACACAATCGCTCTCTGTGTTTAAAAAGAAACATATACAATAGCAATAGACGGCCGTGAGAGGGGCCCAAATAAGCAACTTGAATTTGGAATTTTCCCAAATCTGAGAAAAATACAAGAGAGACGGGTAGAGGAGCATTTCTCTGAAAGGACAAGTTGCAAAACCACTGCAATTTCGAGACTGATGGAGTCCACCATGGAGTACCTCGTCCTTTTGCGTGTCCGCTCTTTCCACCGTGGGCCTTGGATTGACTGCAGGGGTCAGAGGCTGGGCTGCGGGAAGAATGTCGGCTGCGGGAGGAATGTCAGCTGCAGGAGGAATGCTGGAAGGAATGTGGGTGCTTACGTCCTCCACTTCCCCGGGCAGCAGCGGCAAATCTGCTGGACAGAAAATATTTCATTTGATCCTTTCTTGGAATTTACAATTGACCTAAATCATCTAAAAGCCTGTAATGGTCCCAAGAATAAAGCAAATATGCTCAGGTAGAGTAGGTCCATCTCACAAGGCCTGTCCTGGTTTGAGATTCCCCTTTCTAGAAACTAGAAGTCCCTGGTACATCTATTTCTACCCCATTGTTGCAGTTAGAGTCCATCCAGAAGGTCTCAGTGAAATATTGTTTGGGGAGTAACTTGTTCATGCCTCTCACCCCTCAACCCACTGTCTACCTCTATAGGAAAATAAGGCAAGAAGATGCTGTTTTTGCCTCATTTTCCCATATTTTCCTGAGGGGAGAAGAGAAAGGAAATAGAGTGTAGAATTTCATCCTGTAAAGAGATGGCAATATTTCAACAACAACAACAACAAAAAAGCATATTAAAAAACAATGATGCCAGAAGGAAAGAACTTTAACTTTTAACAGAAAAATGAACTACTCTGTCACATTCAGAATGCATACTCTATGTTTCAACACCTGCAAACAACAAAAATGTGTTTCCGGCTTATTTGGCACAGTTATAAGAATTCAAGAGCCAATCTTGGTTTCCTGATCAGCTCATGATGAAGGGATGTGTTCCCTTATATTTGCACGTGTGAGAGAACGTGGAGGCATCACAAGTAAATGATATTCTCCCACAGCTTTCTTTAAGGGGGACAAAAAAACACACAAAACACACAAATAGAAGCACAACAGGCTTCGCCCTCAGTAAATTTTCACAGGACCAGAGGCTGCAGGAGATACCCAATAACTTGCAGTTGGCTCAGGGATGCTGCCTGCTACTCAAAGACGATCTTACGGAAGAATACATTCTCCCTGGAAGTGACTAACAATAGGCATGCCTTGACCATTGCCAGTGGCAGCATATATGGGGAGATAACTGAGCATGATTCGCTATTCAAAAACTGAATCTTATATGAAATACATCTCTCGCTGTTGTGATGCTGTCGCCTTCACAAAAAAATATAATTACAAAATTCATAAGACTCCAGCAACAAAGAACATAGCCTAGAAACTGAGCGTGTGAGTGGAGGATTGGTGAACAAGGTGGTTTTACTACGATTAATTATGGAAACCATAAAATATGACCTGATTAACTGGCAGAAATAAAAACAATAGTAACAGTCAACTCTTATAAAGCTGATATATTACATGCATTAACTCAGCTAATCCAACAGCTCCATTACTTCCTGTTTTATAGGCAATGAGCTCTAAGCACTAAGAGTAACCTCATTGAAGGTGCCACAGCCACAAAGTGGCACAGCGAGGCAGTCTGTCTGCAGAGCCAGGCACTCTGTCTGCAGAGCCCACGATGCCACATTATAAACTTCTTTTGAATAAGCATTTTCATTATATATATATTTTTTAAATCTATCAGATTAGCCAAACTCAGGGCCAAGAAATGTCACTGCAATAGCTCATTAGTATGGCTAGTCAGTTGTAAGTGCACTCAAACATTTTATGCCCAGAGAAGTACTTTTTTTAAACTCATTAAGGTTGGTGGGAAGATTGGCTTTCTAATATATCTATGTATGAGTTCAAAGCCAAACTCAGTGCAACTGCCTAGGACTGGTACAAGCCTGGTTAGGGGCCTGCCCACAACAAAGGCAAGATGAGAAAGGTTCGGGCCTCTTAATGTAAAAACCAATGTCTACCAGACCCATTGACCATCAGTGCAAACATCAGTTCAAGTGTAAGATAAAAATCAATTCTGCCTTCAGAGCTATTTAAAATCTGATTGAGAACCATATGCACCAAGGAGGGCAACTCTGCAATTGCTTTGCTAAACCTCTTCACCTCTAATATTTTGGAGAAGACGTTTTCTTTCATAAAAATTCTACTGCCATGGGAACAACTTCAAAACAAGAAGACTCAGAATCCTCCACACTTCGCTTTGCCATTTGCTTCTTCAGTACAAAAGCAAAATGTACAAATGTGTTTCTATTGGTGCTGAACACAGCACCTTACACGTAGTATAGTCTTAATAAACACTTTAGGATAGGAAATAAATTTCCTGCATCTCAACTTTTAAACGGAACAGCAAGTATCAAGAGTCTGTGTGCTAATAGGACATTGTGGATGATGTAAAATATGTATAGCTCTTACCCTCAATGATTGAACTTTGTTACAGGAATAAGATTTTCACACATAAAATCAAGCAGAGAATAATCAAAACAAAATTGAACAACCTTAACTCGAAAGAGGATAGATTCATAAAAGAGTAAAACCAATATGGATGAGAAGAGTCTGATAAGACAGTTATGAAGAAAGCTACCTTATCTTTTAGCCGTTCTATAATCACGGGTGTGTTATTTATATACGCATGTTCTCTCCAGGAGAAAAATGATGGTATTCATTAATGGTGGGGAATGGAATTTGGTATCTCTGTAAAACCTTCTAAAACTGAAATGTTTTAAGAAACTCGATCCTATCTTAATTGTTTCTGAAATACCAAAGGCCTTGTTTTCATCTTCACTAAATACCACTCTCTTGGCTGATGTACATGTAGAGTCAAGGCAACTCTCAAAAACAAATTTTGATGCTAGGCAGCAAGACTGAAATCACTTCAATCTCTTCTTTCTCAACTACATAAGAATTTCCAATATTTATGAACTATGTGCTCATGCCATTTGTCTTTCTGTATGTAGTCAATAATCAGCAAGTCAAAAGCTATACTCACAGAATCCAATACAACATTATAAAGCAAGCAATCTATCTGACATCTAATAAATTAGGTAAGAATAATATTTAATTGTGTGACATAGTTATTAAATTAACCAATCTGTTCCTTTCTTGTCATGTAGAAATGACAAAAAATTTTTTGAAATTTTGGGCATTCTCCAAGACGAAAAAGGATGTAGGTAAATGCTTTAGTAATCCAGGCCTCTTCCACACACAGCTTTCAGCTAGGATAGTCTATCTCAGTGGTCCTTATTCTTAAAATTTTTTTGAAAACTCCAGAGAACTTTAGTTTATGTAGGTTATGTCCATGAATATTTATCATATTATAAATTAAAGACTGAGACTTTTCTCAAATATTTAACTATTTAAAATATCATTATATATTAAAATAAATATTTTAATGAGAAATCTATTTTCCCAAAACAAAGAAAACAGTGAGAAGAGAAGCACTATTATATGGTTAAAAATAATTTTTTTGTCTGCCTTAAGCAAAGAAAGCTGGATCCTAAACTTGTTAAGCACTCAAGTTTGGAATATTGTTTCACTTGATGTCAATGAAAATAATCTAGTCTCACACAGATTTATAATTGGAAAAGGGAGGAGTACTTTAATAGTCTTTTTATATAATCATGGACATTCTTTGATGCTATACTAGATCTCAAAAAATGATAAAGTAAAAAAAATAAATTCAACGTGCAGTCTGAAACCATTTCGGTGAATTTTTCATACTGTCATGTTAAAATCTTGGTCAATTTTACATGTTGAATGGTTCTTTCTCTAATACATGATTTTGTAACATAAATTTGGAAAATACTGATTCACTGTTTTATACAGGTCCCTCAAATATAGACATATTTCATTATACAGTATAACAATCACATTAGCTAACATTATCAATTTTATCAGAAAAGTCTTTAAATATTGGGGAAGCGTCAAGCTCACAGTACTGGATGCACGTCTCCAAAACTCTGTTTTTCACTCAATGCACTGTCAATTTTGTCACTGACAATGAATACTATCAGTTACATCAGGCAGAGGTCCTTTGGTTGAGCGTCGTCCCATACACCGAGAGATTGTACGTTTGATTTCTGGTCAGGGTACTTGCTGGTGTTGCGAGCTGGATCCCCAGTAGGAGGCATGCAAGAGACAGCAGATACTGTAGATAGTTCTCTCTCCTCAATGTTTCAATCTCTCTCTTCATCTCCCTTCCTCTCTCTGAAATCAATAAAAACACACTAAAAAAAATACTATCAGTTGTTTGTCTTAAAGAAATAGGCCTACTTTATTCACTTTATTTACTTGATTTTTTTGAGAACTATAGTTTGTCATTCTTTCAAGTAAAAATGTTGATCTACATAAAAAAAAGAAGAAAAAAACTGGTTCAAAACACCACTCAATCACACGATTGATTTTCCATGAGACAACCATTGTATTTCAGTATGTAGCATTCAATGTTCAGCATTTAAACAAAAAACTATCAGGTATACAAAGACAGTAGATCAAAAGGGGAAATTAATAATATAAATGGACCCATAGGATACCTTAGGTATTAAAATTATAAAACACAAAATTTAAAATAACTGATTAATATGTTTTAAAAAATACATCACAAAAAATGGAAAATTGCAGCAAAACTAAAGTCTATAAAAATAGATATTCCAGCCCTAACCAGTTTGGCTCAATGGATAGAGCATCGGCCTGTGGACTAAAGGGTCCCGGGTTCGATTCCGGTCAAGGGCATATACCTTGGTTGCGGGCTCGATCCACAGTAGGGGGTGTGCAGGAGGCAGCTAATCGATGTTTCTCTCTCATCGATGTTTCTAATTCTCTATCCCTCTCCCTTCCACTCTGTAAAAAAATCAATATAATATATTTTCAAAAAATAGATATTCCATATCTTTTGATAACTTTAACAACTGGAATATTTAGGGATTTATCAGAAAATTAGATCCAATTCAAGAATGGATTAGTAATCTACAATACAGATAGTAGAATATACTCCAACTGAAGCAAGAAAGGAAATAAAAAAGGATGGAAATGCTGATAAGAGCCTAAGTGATATAGGGGATATGTAAAAATGTTCAGGCACAGGTAATATTTGAAGAGAGAGCAGCTGAGGATATCCCAACACTTACAGGAATCTCTGCAAACCCCAAACAAAATAAATACAAATAAAACAATACCAAGGGATAGTGAAAATCAGTCAAATGAGAGGGAAACAAAACATATTATCATCAAAAAACCATATTACCTTCGAAAGAACAATAATCAGATTGATATCTGATTTTTCAACAGTTTTCATTAATGAAGATAAGAAAAGATTAGCATATCATCTTTAAAGTGCTGAAAGAAAAAAATAACAAACCTAGAATTCTCTACCCAGTAAAAATATAGGAAGATGAAATAATAATAAAATAATACTGGATTAATACAAAATAGGCAAGAAATAAAGAAAACATAATTGGCAGGATAAGTATATATGTATAGATGCATGTGTATAAATGATAGGCAGTTCTCAAGAGACATAAAATTCAGAATAAATGAAAGTAGAAGAAAGAAAGATTAAAAAGTGCAAAAGAAGAAAGGTAACTGCTCTCCAAGGAGAAGGTGGCCAAGTTCAGGGAAGACTTACTTCAAGGATGATATTGGCATTCAACAATGATAATAAATCATATCCCTCTCCCTCCAAGTACAGAAATAAAAAATAGATACAGGAGTCAGGAAGATGGGGAGCAAAATATGAAATATACAATGGATGGAGCTGAACTTAAAAGTGCTGATTGTTCTGCAGTCACAATGGGCTTCTTATTTTCCCAATTCTGTTCTCTTCTCAGGAATGGACTGAAAGTTTCCTCATGAAATCATGAGGCCTGGGCAGCAGGTTTGCCCTGTGGTTGACATGGCTTTTGAGCTGGACCTTAAAGGACTGTTAAGTTTGCACATATAAAAATTGGAGGGACAAAGATAGAGGAACACTTGAAAGCAAAAATTTTTCCCTCTCTGTTTTCAGTGATCTAGACAATGAAGGAATGATTTTAACAGTACTAAGTATAAAATGAATGAAATGCCTAAATATTAAGTTGGCTGAAACATGCTATCTCCTAGCTAGTCCTGTTATACATGCTGCGCCTTATGCTGTTCCTATACTCTCCTAACCCTCAGCCTAACTCCACCCGCCTCATCTAGTTAAAGATTACTCATCCTCCAGATCTCAAGCTCTCAGAGAGTTTTCTCTGACCCACACACAAATTTAAGTTCCCCTGCCATATGTATGTTCTCATGAGATCTAGAATAACTTATAATTATATGTGTGTGATTATCTGGTTAATATTTGATTCTTCCAACAAATTATGAATTTCATGAGAACAGGAACCAGATCAATTTCATTCTCCCTTATATTCCAGGCACCAATCACAGTTGTTAAATATTTGTTGAATAAGAGTCCCAGGTCAATGATAAGCTACATAAAGCTGCTTAAAGATAAGGAAAGAGTTTAAAAAAAAAAAGAAAGAGATGACTGATACCTTTGTTAGAATTGGGAGCACTGGAGAGCTTGAAAATGAAAATCAAATAAGGCTGCCAATCTTTGGGCAGGAATTATTTGCCGGTTCTCCTCCAATACAATCAACCACAGAATAAGTACACACTGACTAAAAGAGTATAAGCCTGAGAAACAGACCTCAATAAGGCTCTTCAGCCCACTGCACTCAGCTAGAGAGCAGGCTGGGCCAACTGAAGGGAGAAATAAATAAAGATAGCCAGAAGATTCTCCCTGCTCTAATGGCTCAGTATAGCTAATACCTACTCCAAATAATGATGATTCTGGATAAAAGCCAGGGGTTCGCTAGTAATTACCCTGCTGGTTAATTACCTTATCTCAAATTCAAAGGAGGAAAAAGTGGTTAACTTGATTTCAAATACACACAGGGCCCCAAACTCAGTGGCAACTACTAGTGCTCGACACCACTGCAGTGAGCTGGTTCCTCTGAAAAACTGTGTCCGCCTGAGCTGCCAAAGCCAAACACTGGGGAAGCATCATAAAGCCAAACACTGGGGAAGAATCCTGCACCTGAATCTTAAAAGAATATTTACGAAAGCAAATAAGGTGAGCAAATGACATCAATGGTAGAAAAACAATGCTCAGCTCACTTCCTGGTTGCCCTAAGCATATCTGCTGCTTAAACAATAACAACAGACTCTAATCAGTAAGCCTCTCAGCTGCCAAAATTTTACAAGCAACTCGCCTATTTGAAATGTCACATTTCCCATCTGACATAACTGTTTGCCTTCTGCTCACATTCCTGAGGCATAATACAAATTAGGCCCAAACTACAATTCGCGCTGGCACAAACTATTTAATTTTTTCCTTGTAAGTGACCCAGGCTGTGCATTATGAAAACTGTGAAGCCCTGGTGGTCCCTGCTGGTAACTGGAATAGGGCAATGAAGCCAGGGTTGCTTCGCAGCCTAGGTTTTCCACATTATTTTACATGTGGGAAGGTCTTGACTAGCTCATTCTAGTCCACTGAGACTTGGTTCAGGCCTCAGTGACCTTTTTCATGTAAGTGCAAGATGGCCTGTTATCTGATTTCTGGAAAAATCATACTAGTGAGACTTTTTATGCAATTTTTTCAAACTAAAGAAATAGACCTGATTTTTTAAAAAATCATTAAAAACATAACTTGAAAAAATATTTAAGGAAAAACAATATGAAAATAATAAAAAGTGAAAAAGGCTAATTGAAGAGATTTCTATAACCAAAATCACATTCGTTGGTTAAGTAGGTTTATGTCAGTGTATACTAGATCTTCTCATTACTCGCAGGAAGCAAGAAATTTAAACCATCAGGAAAAATGCCCAACCAATGTATTTTTGTGCCCTCCTGTAAAATTAACTTTATATTGTAAATGTACTAAGTGCAAACTAGAACTATTTGTCTCCAAGTGTCATCCACACACATGAACTCTGTCCGAATCCCCTAGGGTAGTGGCTAAAAACACAGATCACAAGATGCCACCGAAGACCTTCTGAATTAGACTCTCCCTTGGCACTAGGCCCAGGAATGTTCCTTTTTAACAAGCTGGCCCTCCCAAAGTCACTCACAGCCCCAAACCAGTGTGCTTGCTCTACAAACTTGGCTCTTGATAAGTCCATAGCTATCCCTTCTAATGCAATTGGAGTCCCTAAACTGCTCTTACACAGAAATTCAGAGCAACCTAGGGTATCACAGTTAAGAGAACCTTTCCTTGGACTATGCGATTCCATCAGATTTCTGATCTCACTTGAACCAAGACTGCTGGTTAATAAAATGCTTGAAAAACAAACCCTTCAGTAGAGTATTGTGATGTTCAGAAGCAGAATATAAATGTTAATTGCTTCCAATTACCCTCAATCCAGGCAACCAAAGAAGCCAGAATAGGGTTTACGGCGTGTCATCATTCCCAAACCAAGTACACCCAGACATGCTAACTCCTGTCTGGTTATAAAGAAGTCCCCATCCAATAATCGTGACCATAATTCATGATTATGCTTATGACTGCCTAAACACTGTAAGCAACACCAAATCCCATGGAAACTGCCCCTTCCCTAACGTTAGTTCAACATTGACTTTGAAATATTCTTGCATATTAAATTAGGAATGAGAGTTTTCAAAACAAACAACTCTAATTTGGAACATATTTCAAAAGTCCTTTAAGCAAAAAAGGATACCTATGTTTACACAAAAATGCTAACCAGGAAAGGAAAAAGGACTCATCTACATAATCATCAGTTAATTAGCATAAAGCCTCTCTCAGTCCAGCCCATATGGGAAGATGCCCCCAAAAGAAACATTTATGCCAAACCAATGGACATGGACAACAGGGGGATGGGAGCATGAGTGTGCGGGGCTGGGGGGTGAGGGGGGGTGAGGGGGTGGGGAGGGGGAGGTTAGGGGTTAATGGGGGGGATGAGGACACATTTGTAATACCTTAACTAATAATAATAAAAAAAAAGAAACATTTATAATATACCTTCAGTCTTAAGTGTTTGGTTTACATATTTAATAAATTTCTATGAAAGCAAAGATTTGGATTTTTTTGTTTATGATGAATTCTGATATTTTTTTATTTTAATGATCAATTGATGTTCTACTTTTCATTCCAAAATAACCTCAACTTACAACATGGTGCTTCTAAGAAATTGGGTTTGACTTAGATGACTTTACTTGGGACAATCATTCAAAAATCAAGCATATGGTATATCAGTGTGGGGAGGGGTAGAAGGAGAGTGGACATCTTTATTTCATTTAAGATGCAAGACTTTACAACCTTCAACAGGCTTTGACCTTTCCACTGAAATCTCTGTTATTGAAAAAGAAATTGCAGAACTCCAGTTTTCCCTGTCTCAGGGAAGATGGAGATAGGATTGCCAGGAAAGAAAAAAAAAAAGCTGCCTAAAGTATTACTTGTAGCTTCTAGAAAGAGGCCAGGCAGTTTAGAAAGAAAACAGAAGGCATACCCTTGCTCATTTGGGGCTTAATCTCTTCATCCATGTCCAAATCTTCTACTTCTAGGAAATTATCTACCTAGAGAAGAATTAACATTATTTTTATGCATATGTATTAGACTTTTAAAAAAAAGGGCAATTAAGAATCAATGAATCCATTTCCAAAACACTCAAGTGAGCAACTGAACCCAATTTTCTCATTAACTTTTGAGTCCCCGCTAAAGGTCTGTGTTCACACAGCTTTCCCAGAGACATCTGAAAGAAGCAGTAAATTTGGAAGTTGGCCTGGATTTTGCAGGCACCATAGTAAGGTCTTTATACTGAAAGGGAAAAGAACCATCTGGGGAGTTCTTGAAAAGGGACTTCATTCCAGATTCTATCCCAGAATATATTCCACAGCCACGACAGTCCAAAACAGTGTCGTGCACAGGTGGGGTCCCTCTCGGTGGCCTGCAGGGATTGGGCCGAAACCCGAAGTCCAATGCCACCTGCAGCTCCTACCTGCTGCTCCCGCTCATCCCGGTCCCACTGCGCCTGCGGGCTCCAGCCCCATCAGTGCTGATCAGGAGAGGATCACCAGCCTTGAGCCCTGCGGCTGGCGCCCTCCCGAGGGCAGTGGCCTGCGGGTTCGGGCTGAAACTGGCTCTCTGACATCCCCTGAGGAGTCCTGGATTGCAAGAGGGCACAGGCCAGGCCAAAGGACCCCACTGGTGCACGATCGGCTGGGGAGGGACCGCAGGAAGGCTGCAGGGCGAGTCTCGCTCAGTCCCGATCAGCCGGACTCCAGCAGCAAGCTACCCTACCAGTTGGAGCGTCTGCCCCCTGGTGGTCAGTGCACATCATAGCGACTGGTCGACCAGTCCAACAGTCACTAACCTTCCAGACCTCACAGACCATAAGTAGTCCACGGACCATCGGTTGGCTACTGCTGTACTAGTCGACTGTCTGCTCCCTGGTGGTCAGTGCACATCACAGCAAGTGGTTGAGTGGCCTTAGCATATCATTAGCATATTACGTTTTGATTGGTTGAACAACCTGGTCACCAGACAACCAGATACTTAGCATATTAGGCTTTTATTGTATAGGATTATTACTGCTGCTGCTGTTTTATTGCTTTTGATTCTCAAGCAAATGATGGTGGTGGGTCTGGCTGTTATCATAACAGCACATTTTTCACTGGAAAGAGCCAGAGAGAAGAAAGAAAGAAAAAGAAAGAAAGAAAGAAAGAAAGAAAGAAAGAAAGAAAGAAAGAAAGAAAGAAAGAAAGAAAGAAGAAAGAAAGGAAGAAAGGAAGAAAGGAAGAAAGGAAGAAAGGAAGAAAGGAAGAAAGGAAGAAAGGAAGAAAGGAAGAAAGGAAGAAAGGAAGAAAGGAAGAAAGGAAGAAAGAAAGAAAGAAAGGTTCATTCAAAACAAAATCATCCTGCCCTAGCCAGTTTTGCTCAGTGGATAGAGTGTCAGCCTGTGGACTGAAGGGTCCTGGGTTCGATTCTGGTCAAGGGCACATACTTCGGTGACAGGCTCTTGGCCTTGGTCAGGGGCATGTGGGAGGCAACCAATAGATGTGTCTCTCTCACATTAGTGTTTCTCTCTCTCTCTCTCTGTCTTTCTTCCACTCTCTCTAAAAATTAATGGAAAAAATATCCTCAGATGAGGATTTAAAAATAAAATATAAATATCGTTATAAAAAAAAAAATCATCCTGCCCAGGTAAATCACAAGCAAGGTGAGCAGGGCAAAAAAATCAAGTGTTCTCTCTTTCGAACAAATAAAACTGAATATTACTTCAAAGGTTAAAAAAAGCAGAGCAAATGACCTTTACAGACACAATAGCTACATTTCAATGAAAAACTATTCCACGAGGAGTAACTGCTTTCCACTGCAAGCTGACAAGGAGACATTTTAGATTAACAAAATGGTAACATTTCAGACACCAAACTAATTCATCTCAGGTGAATATCAAAGAGTGTAAATAAGAAAATGATTTCACCACCGGCTCCAAGGAGACCTAGAGTAAAGGCATAATGTCAAAACACCTTTTATGCTTATGACCTGAAATATGTGCATAACAAAATACCTTCAAATTGCAAATTTAGAACTCATAATTGGAACTCAAAAGATAGCCTGGGCCTTTCTTCTTTCAGCTCTATTTGTCAGGCCATGGCTCTTACGTAGGAATTTCAAAGGGTAGCTTCCAGGGCTTGTAAGTACAAAACTGCAGTTGTTTCCTGGCATCCAAGTGACAGGAAAAATTTATCTTCCATATGCCAGTTTCAGTACGAAAATGGAAGAATCTGTTAAATCCCATTTTTCTTAATGGTATATGCTAAAGGGGACTAGAGCCACATTTCCCTATTGAAGCACCCCTTCCATTTATTAAGCTTTGGGGGAAAAGATCTGGAACCTAGACAAACATGCATAGTGTAACATTCTCAAAAACAATTTTTTTTAAAAGTATAAGGATGAAATCTGCTGAATTCCCCAACCTGTATGAGACAGCAAATGAGTCCTGCAGGTTTTTCTGCTTTTATAGTTTTTGGGGGGTTTTGCCACGGAAACAAAAATTAAATCATGCCTTACCTTCACCTTTCCTGCCCAATTTGGATCACTTTGAAAGGAAATGCCAACTTGTTGGCCTTCATCCAGCACTATCTGAAAAATACAATGAAGACATATTGATGGGAAAATGGAACAACTGAAAATAAAGGCACTGATCCTGTAGCCCTTCAGACAATAAAACTTTCCTTCCAGCTTTTGTTAATTAGCTATGCATGATGAAACCATCCCAGCCGGTGAACCCTTGAAGGGCAAACCTGAAAATGCTAAAACAACTTTTTCAAGTTATTAGAAAACAATGCCATTGAACAATCCTTTGTGTCCAACATGCTGGTCAAAGATTCAATAGATGATATAATTCCAGTGGCTAAAGATTGCCAGTAGATAGTGAATTCACTGGGGGACAAAGTTTCTGTCTCACAATTATCTCTCTCTCTATATATATATAGCCTCTGCTATATATTAGCACATTTCTAATGCAGAGATTTTTGTTCCCTTGGATAAAATCACAAATACAATTCTGTCCACAATATCACAGGGAAGATGTGATAAAGCAGAAACTCAAATGGCTTAAAAAGTAGAACATTTTTTGCTGGAGGCAAATACCAAAAAGTAGTTAACATGTAAATGCGAGAGGTCCGTCAGAAGGCTGATGGACCTTGGGCTTTAGCAAGGGCTAAAAGCTATGCACCGATTGTTCTGTGGAGACAATGGTGGCTGAAGGCAATCTCCTAACCTGATAATCTTTTACTGTTTACCAAACCTTACCTTTGATATGTCTGTTTGGTTTGCTAAAAGGCAAATATATATTCTAGTAAATGAAAAGCTTTGGGTCCGGACATTCAGAGAGCTTCACCACTAGAGTGAAGCCTCCGCCTGGTTCCCCACGCCTTCTAAATTTATATTTCTTGTCTAGTGTATCCATTTATGCGTGGCCCCTTCTCCAGATTCTGAATCCTTGCTGCAAAAGGCTGCAGCAATTTTCCATGACTATATCTACTGCCTTGTCTTGATTTATAAGCAAAACCTGGACAACCTACAGAAATGTGTTTTGTAGTTTATCTAAGAAAATATACAGAAAATATTGCTGTTATTTTAATGAAGAAAATCAATCTTTATAGCTTATTTCAACCTAAATAAAACACGCATTTGGTTTTAAAAAATAATAACTTTCACTTAGATTCCTTGAAAGTTAAAAACCACAGCTAAGGATAATATGACTACAGTCTTTTAAGTCTTGAAGGTTTGGGAGAGAGACTATAATATTCATTGACCAAATCCTGGAAAAAAAACAAAGATAACAGCTTCTACTTTAAGCTCGAAAGAGATGAATTCAGAACAGGTAGAAGAAACTCCCATTTTACACAGAGAATTTAAAAAGGAATTCTTTGGTTCCACATAGAGGACAAGTTAAAACGTATTTCAAGAAGAACTTGTAGATGACAAATTCTTAAGAGGTTTTTCGTTTTGTTTTGTTTTTTATCCTCACCTGAGGATATGTTTACTGATTTTAGAGGTGGGGGAAGGGGCAGAGAGAGAGAAACAGCGGTTGAAATGTAGGTTAGTTGCCTCCCATACACGCCCCAACCGGGATTGAACCCAGAGCAGGAATCGTCCTGCAAACTTTCAGTGTATGGGATGATGCTCCAACCAACTGAGCACACCAGCCAGGCTGTTAAGAGGTTTTTAACAAGAATTGGGGATAACCAAGTTATCATCATAAACGATGGCTGTTAAAATCATACAATGTAATAATGATTTTCAATAAAGTATCCCAATGACACGCCTTCTAGAATTTGGAGTCTGAGTTATTGGTCTAATAACTGTCCAGTGATGTTCTTCCAGATATTTTTTTAATTAATCAAGAACGTCTTTTCTCAGATTGTTTCTAAAAGTATTACCTGTTTCTCTTCTGAAGACTGTGATGAAGTACGAAGAAAGATGGCTTTACTCCTAAGGCGGTGATCATTTGGTCCATTTTCATGAGTAAGTTGTACTGAAATAAATATGTCTCCTGAAGATCTGGTTCCAAACAAGCCTCTTTGGGTCACTTTATCCTCTGAAATAATAAGTGACATAATATTGGAAAACATCCACCACACCCAGTCTAGTTCATTTCCAGTCGAGAATCTTCCTTCCAACCAAAAAAAAAAAAAAAAATAGTTTTCAAAGAAATATAAATGCAAAAAAGATAACACTATTTCATTTACTACCCAAAAATATATGTTATGTGCTTACTATGTACCCAACATTGTTCTAAGTCACTGTTAAAATATTGTTAAAGTATAGTACTTCCAAGTCTCCTTGGCATTACCTACCTCATTTTTTTTCCTAAATTTGAGGGGGATTTTTTTCTTATATGAAAGCAATATAGAGAGGATTTTGGAACCTTTGTAAGATAAAACATAAAAATTTGAAAAGTACTCCTAGTAGGACAGAAAAGCTGCAACCACATTTTTTCGGTGGTATTTTTCTCATATTTTTACCTATGCATTTTGTTTGAGGTAACACAGCTGGTAAATAGCAGAGTGGGGATTTGAAGCCAGGCCTTCTGACTAAGAACCCATGCTCCTAACCACTGTCTATACCACAAAGGAAGGGAATCATGCCACAAAGGAAGGGAATGAGTCCATAGAAAATAGAAGAATGACATGAGAAAAGAAAAAAAATTCCAAAAAGAAGACAAAGAAGAAAAGTTTACAATAGTACAAAAAGAACCAAAGGTGCATGGTACATTCCAAAATAGAACTCATTTGCTGCAACCGCAATAAATACAGGACTCCACATCAGTGATCACTAGACAAGTGATAAGAGGGTCCAAAGAGACCAGGTGGCAGAAATCAAGACACTGTGAGGGTGGTAGAGTAAGGCTTCATCCCCTTACAATACTCTATCATGAGACACGGGGACTGTTTCTTCTGTGAGCTCCTTAGGCAGGTATGTAACTGGAGGGGTTATGAGAGAGCCTAACCCAGTGAAGTGGCCATGCTTGCTCTTGAGCTGTTAGTTGCATGGCATGAAAATAGGTGAGATTCTTGTTGTTCTAATGATCATAGCCTGGTGCTAGTCCAGTCAGGATCCTTTGTTTGCTTCTGAATACCCATCACTAGTAGAATTAAAACCTATAGGGATGTCTAAAGGACATTAATGCTGAGATACTGTTGGGGAGCAGAGGTAAGATAACCTGGGGTATAATTATTAACTCAATCAGCCAGAGAGGCAAAACACAAATATTGATTGAATTTAGCGCGTTCTCTGTAAAAGGGTCATATTAGTAAATGACACACACTCAGGCCAGCTCTCCCTACTGCCTCCTGCACCAACATCCATGGCTCCTAACAAGCTACTCCTGGGACAGGTCACCCCTGCCTTTGGCCTCAACATCCCATCAGCAACTCTAATGTGAAGCACTAGCTTGGGCTGCTGGGGTAAAGGGACTGGGGGCGCTCAGTGAGTAGGGTAATGGGAGAGTTGCTCAGAATATTGCTGCAATAACCAGCACTGTGAAAGATCAGGTAAGTGAGGAAGGAATAGTCTTAGAGGATTTATCCCCCTGAGGTCTTCCTCTTTTACAGCCACAAAGATGTCCTAAATCAGTCCTAGGGCAAAGATAAGCAGTGTAGTAGCAGAGTAGAGCAAGATAGTTCTAAAAATGCTTGGAAACAGAAGAAGTTCTCTGAGAAATGAAAGGGTTCCTCAAAGTTAGAATCAGGGCTTCCTTTGGCCTCCTGCCATTCTTCAGTGCACTGTTCTAATACGAGGTGGAATTACTTCAGTTCTCCCTGCTTATCCTTTAAGGCTTGAACAGCCTAAGTCTAGTATTTACTAAGAAAATACTGTGTACCCAGCACACTATTGTAACAGTCTATTGACTTAAATACTTGGAAGGCATTTAGTGAAACAGATATTCCATAAGGACACGTTCTATTTGTTCTCATATCACACAAGGCACTGCCATTTCCAATAAAATAACCAGGGTATTTGACAGATGAAATTCCTTTGAAAGAAAGAGCAAAATATAATGAAGTCCCCACTTCTGATGCTGATGTTGAAATGCTGGTGGGGACTTGGATCTAATAAAATTTCTTGTTCATGCTTTTAAAATTTCTTCATTTTGGAAACATAAAACTTTCATTTTTAAAATACTATTAAGGGTGCTGAAATAAATTACAAATTCCTAACTGGGCAGATCATGGTGGGTAGTCATGCCCATGCCTACAACTTCTTCAGAAAGGTGTGTAAGCCAGACCTGCCCATTGTTCTTGTGCATCTAGATCAACACACCTTTGAAATGCCAGAAGTAATACCCCTTGAAGACATAACCCAACAGAGCACAGAATCTTAACTCTCCTGGGATCCATTCCCTGCCTTGCTTTCTCCCACCTTCACTTAAACTTCCTTAAGTTCCCTCAATAGCAAGTGCATACAAGAAATTGCAAACTGCTATTCTCCTATTCTCCTGAGCATTTGAGATCTTGCTTCCTGGCAACAGTAAGTTTGGCTCAAATAAATTCTTAGAAAAAATTCTCTACAGGTTTGGATGTTCTTAGGTCAGCAAGAAGATTCAGGAAAGAACTTGTTCTCTCTCCAATTGCTCCTACAGTTTAAGGCTCCTTCCTACTCCTCACATGAATACATACTATATCACTCCAAAGACCCAGAAGTGATCCTTCCAAGGCTTTTATCGCTTTCATAAAAAACCAACAAATAATAAATCTCTTGGCAGAATGAGGTAGGAAAGAAGTTCTTTTTCAGTATGATAATGTCAAAATGAATCCAAAGGGGCCTAAAGCTGATGAGAGACACTGCTTCCCAGAGTTGTCCTGGTGGCCTGGTGACAGTCCACATGAGCCACCCAAGTGTTTGTTTTTCAACAGTCCTTTTTTCAGTATTTCAACTTGTCCCTAATGTTTCTTGCTTTGAAATAAGTGTCAGACATAAAAAATAAATAAAAATCTAACGGCAATATTTCAGAGAACAAGTAGGTTGTTCAGACCTGAAAGAGCATCTCTTTGGCATTTCTTTTTACAAAAAAAATATATTTTTATTGATATCAGAGAGGAAGGGAGGAGAGAGAGACAGAAACATCAATGATGAGAATCATTGATCAGCTGCCTTCTGAATACCGCCTCCCCCCTACCCCCCCCCCCCGCCCCCCACACACACTGGGGATAGATCCCAAAACCCAGGCATGTGCCCTGATCAGGAATCGAACAGTGGCCTCCTGTCATAGGTTGATGCTCAACCACTGAGCCACACCAGCCAGGCTCTTTGGGCATTTCTGAGTCAAAACTTCAATACAAGTGAAACAAAGGTTTCTTAAAGGTTTTATTATTCTGAAGCAATGGAATTAAAAAAAATTATTACATACCAAGCATGCAAACTTCCAACAGATCTGCCTTATTAGGCCACACCAGCTGTACCTACAATGTCTAATTTCAGGCCAAAGCAAAAGGTTCTGCTCCTTGAAAAGATGGAAACTACTGATGCCTTGATAAATTAATACTAATCATACATTGATTATATGGCTTCCAGATGAAAGTGATCACTTTCAGAGAAGTCTATTTTGAAAGAAACTCTGTAAAAACTCAGATTCATCCATACAAGAGCCAAACCAGTGTCCACGCGCTGAGAAGCGTCGCCACCCTGGCAGGGGAGTTTTCACAGATCTACACCAACCTCATCCGAATTCACGGCCAGGTCCTGTCAGCACGGCTGAGGCTCTGTTCTTCTGCACCATGGTCAAGAGCAATATAAATCAAGAGCCGCAAACAGATACTGAATATGTTGCTAGAAGGAACGAAAAATTCATGGGGGATATTTCTGTGCAACTCTGAGCAGTTGCAAAAGGCCTTCTGCAAAGAGAATAGGGGCTAAGCAATCATGCTTATAACAAGGTTGGGTACTTTGAAAGCCATGGGGTGATTTTCACATTATACTCCTAGCCTAGAGCAATGTTTCTCTGGACAATAATATCTGCTCCTCATTTGTCCAGCCAAACTACTTCGCTCAACTGCTTCCTGATCACATGCTACGTGGTATCTGGCCTCCCCTGGAGCGACAGTTGTTAGGATTAAATAAGCAATTTAAAAACCAATCAATCATAAATCAGAATGAATCCAAAGAAGCTAAATTCAGCAGACCGATGTTTTGTCTAAATTCCCTCTGCAGTGCTCTGAATTCCACCTGTTTTATGTTCTGCATCGAAAGGGCACAGAGAGGAGAGGATTACTTCGGCCTGGCTAGTGGGGAGTAATCGCGCTTTCCCTGAGGCGGGCTGATAATTGACTCATTATTCACAGGCATAGCTCTCAAGCTGCAAATGCACAACCCAGGCCTGAAAAACTGTGTCAAAAGCCCAAGGTGAGGGACACAATGGCAGGAAGTTGAAATTTTTCAATGTCCAGTGCTAGGCACTTACAGAGAGAAAAATGTTTAGAGTGTCAAGTTGCTGAAAGTTTCTTTCCAGGAAGAAAATCTGAGTGGCCATTGAGTTAGGCAACTCATTCGATCCAAAAGTTACATTCTGGGCCTCAACCACGTGCAAGGTGCCGAAGATGGGAAAGAACCAATCCTGTCCTCACAGAATTTACAAACTAGGAAGTTCAGCCAGGTATGCAAACCACCAAAACAGAACACAACCATGGCAGATGATACAAGGGAGGGGCAATGGTAAAGAATGGTGAAAGCTTGCCATCGGTTTGGGAACCACGGACGGCTTCACACAGTCATGGGGCGTCTGAACTGGGCTTTGCAACAAACTACAGTTTCAACAGGTGGACACTGCGAGGAGTTCTCCCACAAAGGGAGCAAAGTGGCGAGGTGGGAAAGCACAGAGCCTGAGAAGAGTCACCAAATACTCCAGGGAGATGGGAGTAACACTTGGTGACACATGGGAGGGGTGATATTTGACGGGCACAACGAAAACTCTGTACTTGACCCAGGACTTTGGGAGTCATGGCGCTGTACTCTCAGAGGAAAAGTGGATAGAATAGAGCAGAGTGGTTCAAATACGGGAGGTAGAAAGTACAGAGCATTTGTAGTCATCGGGGTGAGGGG